AAAACACATAAATAGAAAAGTCGAAATATCCTTTCGTCTCGATGAAACTCAGAAGCTTATTTTCTTGTGGAAGTCCCTTTCATCAGGGATTTAACACCGTCAAAACCATCCTCTTGATTCATCCGCATCTGCCGCAACGATCACCATATTTAAGTACAGAATTAAAGTAATTTTTTTTCAGAAAATATTATCCCAGTCCCCATTGAGGTAATTCAGTTACCATAACTTATCCATTGCTTCTCAACAGAGTTTATGGCTTATTCTTTCATTCTTGTAAGCCTTTCCTGATACAATGACACGGACGTAAATTTAATTCCAAGAAATGGACTTGATGATACATGGAATATGAAGATGTAGCATAAGAAACCGAATCTAAACTGATCTGGTATCACTTCCTTAGGACTCTCCCAAAAAGAACCTCCAGAATCCCCCTTTTGATCACAATTATCCTTTCGTTGTCAGTTACTGGAAGGGGTAAGGCAAAGGAGAAAAAGCCATGAGACCAATAAAATACTTTGTGGTGGTTGGCTACCTGGCATCGTATGGAAAAAGAGGAAAAACTGAAAAACTGAAAGGAAAAATTGTCATACGTAACACAGAGACTACTAGCTTCTAGTGCGGCACTAGGTTTTAACCTTTTGGAATTTTCCTTTTACAACCTCTTCTTACGCTAAAAACTTGTCAAAGTTTCTGGGACTGGCTTTTACCTTCCTCTTCCTCTTTAAATAATCCAACTTCCTAAATAACCTTTCCAAATCTCAATCTGTTTCAATGCTTACGAAAACACCATACAAACGTATGTAAAAAACCAGACGGATCGACGTGCGACAAATGCACAAGAAGACATCATTACACTCTTCACAATGAGCAATTTGTTCCAGCTAATTCCAATTTGAATCCTCAAGCTGCACCATATACCAAATCCATGCAAGGTGCCAGTAACTACAGTATGTAGGGAACGAGTAACGTCCTGGGTCATTGGGCAGAAACACAAGCAAATAACTTCAACGTTCAACAAG